AGCAACAGCAGCAGCAGCAGCAACAGCAACAGCAAACGCAGCAGCAACAGCAACATCAACAGCAACAGCAACTGAACAGCAACAGCAACAGCAACAGCAACAGGAGCAGGAGCAGCAGCAGCAGCAGCAGCAACAGCAGCAGCAGCAGCAGCAGCAGGAGCAGCAGCAGCAGCAGCAGCAGCAACAGCAACAGCAACAGCAACAGCAACAGCAACAACAACAACAACAACAACAACAACAACAACAACAACAACAAGAACAACAACAACAACATCAACCCCGCGCAACCCATAGCAACCCTAAACCCAACCTAGGCCAACCCGAACAATCCCCGCCAAAAAATCAACCCAAAACAAACCCCGAACCCAACCCTAAACCCGCCCTAAACCGACCCTCAGGGTGGTGATAGCAATGCTGGGGATGTTGACGGTGATGGCCCAGGAGAAAAATGTCTCGCCGAACCTGGGAAAACATGTACGACTGGGGCCGAACAAGAATCTATGAGTACAAGTGGAGAGAGCTGCGCAGACAGCATCAGGGTGGTCGTTGGGTGTGGAAAAGGGCCTGCTAGCCAAAAGAGGAATGTGTACATCGATCTTATTGACCTTGCATATGCACTATCTCATTTTGGGGGTTTAAGTCACCAACAACCTCTCCCCGAGACCACCATGGCTCCCGACTTGGAGGATCTATCCCCAAACTCAAGCTACCAACATCCTAAGCCCGAAGCCAGGAGGTGCTTCACCCGAAGCTGACGGAAGCGCAGGGTAAGTTGGAGGCCCGTTTGCGTTCAGAAAACAAACGCAATTCCAGTGGCTGTTTGCTGTAGATCTGTGGGTCTGGTGTTTCTGCGTCTGAGTGGTCTGCGGGATCTATCTGTGGAGTTGTGTGTCTGCGGGTCCTTGGGCGGGATGGGGTGGGATGTATCGGCTCGCAACACACGGGTATGCCCCTCAAAATGGACCCCATGTCAACAGCAGAGGTCTTGGTTGGATGGAGGGATCCAAGTCATTGGTCATGATTTCAAGAAGGCTCAGCGGGCTTATCCAGGGATGGCTCCCCGCCGGGGGGGGGGTTAACGCTCAAAACCTCTCTTGCCACCATCTTCAGGAAACCGATGTGGGCGTGCGTGTTGGTGCCCTTTTAGGGGTGGTTTGAAAGGGAACCAAAAGGGAATGAACCATGCGTGATGTCAATGCTGAATGTGGGCAACAGATTAATCAACGGCCCACCCACCCTCCTAACACCAAGAGTCATGGAAGGAAACCAAAAATATGTGTGATCTTCGGTCTTCTTCGGGTCCTTGTCTAAGTGGCCTCCCCGCTTGCCCGGATAATCGTGCCAACCGTCCATTTCCGAGGAAGGGACTTAAACAGCAGAAATCAAGCATCGATTCCACGAGGGATGTAAACGGCAGGAATCGAGAACCCGTTTCGGCAAACTTTGAGGATTGGTTTAGTGTTGGCTTGGGCTCTTTCAATATGTTGATCATTTTCTCTATCGAGTTGTTTTCCTTTTTTTCAGTTATGGTGCAGCGAATGTTTTGTTATTGTTGAGTTGTTTTGCGTTTTTGTGTTTTGGTGCTCTGAATATGATGTTTAACAAATTTGTGTGTATCGCATACCCTTGGGATAATCATCGCAGATGTTTACCCTTGATTGACCGTCATTATGTAGCCGTATTTAAGCTATATTAACCCTCCGCAACCATCATGAAGGATCATGTCCGTTCTGAACCCTGTAACCATATCGTGCTGTGTTTGGAGCAGCCCTGTGGCGCCCATCAGACCACGCCTTGTGCAAAGATGAGGGTAACCCCCCAAATGGAAGATCCTACAGCGGAGCAGTGCAGTGGATTAGCATCCTGTTGTGCTTTTGGAATGGGTTCCCCCTTTGAAATCGATCAACAGAAGTTGTTATTTTTCGCCCAACTGCTTGCCTGAGGTAATATGTAAGCAAAGTGTTTTAGATTGTCAACGCGGAAGGGAAACGTCCACCAGAATTGTTGAGTCTTTCTGAAATATGCCATGATGTGTGACTTTCCAAGCAGTGCCGCACCCAAAGTCGAGTTGGCGAAGTACGGTTTGTGAAGCCCTTGTGCTCAGCGAGGGCCAGCCTATATGAACTTCCAATCGGGTTGGTAAAGCCAAGAAGAACTTGAGGTTTAAGCCCTTCGCCACGTTGCGAAGCCGGAGGCAGCGTTTCTCCACCAGTTCGAGTACGCGCACAATCTCATCGATGCAAGCGCCTCAGAATCCAATCATAGCCCTCAGTCCCAAGCAATTGTTTCTCAGAGGGGTTCCACTGCCTCCAAACCACTTCGCCCCAGAGAGGATTGGGTATGGTGATAGTGGCTATGCATGTATATGCGTATTATATTGTATATATATATACATATATATATATACATATTTCTATTTACACACACACAGTCTATATCGACCTTTCACTTTCTTCATTTCACACCATTAGCATACAAGCGTGGAGTTGGTATGTATGGTTTTCGCTTGCACACAAGGTCCTCGAAAGGCCTGCCTGAGGATGTTGTCGAATTTTCATTGGGCTGTAGACGCTTGCAAGCAGTAGGTTATCAGTGCCATTGTTGGATGAGTTTGATAGGTGAAAGGAGTGAGCATAAGGCACCACCTCTCTGTAGCTGAAATGATTGTTCAGCAATTTGTTTGCTTTGTGTCACAAGCCGATGGTTGTTCTGTGGTGGGGAACAATGAGGAGCAACCCTCTGTTGCGAACCAGCCATTGCCGAGCGCCCAACTGGAAGGCAGTCAGCGACCGCTTGGCGGGTGTAGAAAAGGCCGGAGTGGGCGGCGCGTGATGTTCAGTTGGACACGGTCGGTTACAAGTTGGACACAGTCGGTTACAGTGATCGGTTTGGCGGCCGAAGCGGTGTTGCCGTGTGTGAAGGCACCTTGATCTTGAAGAACCCCCATATATATATATATAAATATAGGAATATAGAAACACACAATAGCTGGTTTGTTGACCAGGGTCATATTAGCAGAAGCCGGTCAACTCGGTGCTTGCAATGTTCAGAGAATACTCAGTTCCAGTCCAGGTGCGGCGAGCGGGGTTGGGGGGGGGGGTTCAGGACGTTGCCCTCTTTTGCGGGACCACTTCGGCATACCTCCAAGAAGAACCTACACTTTTTTTTCTTTTTTTTTCTTTTTTTTTTTTTAAAGATTTTTGAGAGGCTGTGAATACATGTGTCCAATTTCGAGTAGTCCACAACTGGGTTTTTTGAAAGTGGTTGCATATTGAGGAATTCACAGTATTTTTGGGTCCCGGCAATGCTTCAACAAAACCACAACGCCAGGAGCTTTGAGCGTGTCACTTGAGTTCACTCTGAAAAAACCACGCACCCCAGGACTTTGTGCAGAGCCGCGCCCGCTACGTGCAGCAGATAGAGATGGACGCCGGCACAGTGGTGGGGGCACCGGATGTCCATTGCGAGGAATCCACTGCAAGTCATGGACCTCCAACAGGGGCTATGGGCAGGAGGTGAAATTAGCCCCGCTTGGAGGCAGTGAGGCACCAGGGTCCAAACAGGGGCCCTATTGTTGACACCCCCCAAATACAAGCAAGGAATACAATTTACTAGTACTCTACTGTTAGTTTGGGAAGGACACCCAAGTACAAAATGGGGGAAAGCCCCAGCCCAAGTTTCCCATATTCCTTGGGGAGCAAGTGATGCAGGGGTCATTGGTTCGGTCAAAATATCCTGCTTTGTCTCTCCGTTTGGGCGGGACTTGGGGCAGTCACCAAATGTGTGCTTCCGCGTCCCAAGGACGGGAATCGCATGTTTGGACCATGGCCAATGGCTACATGGATTGAGTTTCTCAAAGGCACCCCCCATTGAATGCTGTTCTTTAGGCATTGCTGGTTTATGTATGTTTGGGGAATCAAGCATTTGCCTCACCAAAGATGGTTAACGTCCACCCTTCAGTCAGGTTCCATGTTAGAGCATTGTGGGTTGTCTGCCAAAAAGATGGTTGTCTTCTGGGGAACCATCCACATTGGGTTGGAGGGTAATTGCAGGAGTCCCATTTCTCTTTTGCGACCTCTTTTTGAACTTATTTCCACTGAAATCAACCGGAATTAAACATTGATTGAGGGAACAAATCCACCCACTGGTCTTGAAAGAATTTAGCTCAGCTAGGGCTCGGCTCAGTCGGTCTCCGGGTCCCGCGGGTTCGCCCTTAGGCCTCGGACCTGAAAGACTTCCGCCGGAGCTTCGAGCTCGAGCTCGCGGCGCGGCAGGAGACCGCGAAGAGCGGGGTTCGAACGCGGTTCGGCGGTTCGGCGGTTCGGCGGCCGGGGGCCAGTTGGTTTCTTCCTGTTGAGCGGAGAGAAACCAACGACAAGGGGTCTGTCTGTCTGTGTGTGGTTGTTTGTTTGGGGGGACACGTTTTGGGGTGAGTTCAAAGGGAAACCAAGGGGCAACCAGCCATTTTTGGGGGTCACCGCCCATTTTGGCACATACAATACACAAAGTGGCTTGCCCTAAAAAAGTCCTTGGATAATGATGGCTTTGGGGTTCCATGTTAATCAGGGCAGTACAGCGAGCTATACGGCGAGCTCACCAAGCCTGGGGTGAAGCGAGCGGAGGCCTACGATGAAGTCGCTTTGGGGGGGATTCCTTGCTCCCGGTTTGTGAAGCATAATGTTGGATTCGAACTCTAAGAGTTCCAAACAAGATCAGGGTTGGTTTCCTCTCCAGGCGGTCAGTGGATGTTACCATCTAAGTTTTGCTTTGTGGGGGGTTCCGCCACTCAAGGCCCAAAAAAGGGTTCCCTTTCTTAAAGCGGACTTGGGTTTGGGAGGAAGCTCTTTGAATCATCAATCAGCTTTCAGCTGGTGTTTGACTCGCTGGTTCTCAGTAGGGAACCGCCAAGGGAATTTGGGAATGAACTTAAGGATCCCAATAAGCAAATCGCAAGTGATGGGTGAAAGGGCTCCTTAGCACTAGGCCATTAGGGACCCTGCAATGAACCAGTAAGACTTTGGTAGGCGGTTCCAGCATCTGAACTTAAGGAGACATAGCTTTGGCGATTATTCGGCCGTGGGACAATTCGCCAGGAGCGCGAACAAGACCTCCGGGAGCGCCTTGCTGCCTCCAAGCACCAGATGGCAGAGAAGCTGGCGCCGGGAGTGACAGAATCAAAGGTATGTCGTTGGGGTTCCAAGGTTGGGTCCTGTTAAAAGAACAAAGACGATGGAGTCCAGCTAAGTGTTCCAACACAACGAGGCCAAAGAGGCGTCATCATTTGGACAACTCAAAGTCCATGTTGCAAATTTGTTGCTCGGCAAATGCGCTGTATCGCCGCGGGATTCGAGCTTGGCCCCCGGCAGGCACGCGATGACCAGCTCGCTGACCGGAAGTTTGCCCGGGCGCTGAGACTTGAAGCTGTCCGGCCCAAAATTCGCGACGACCCATTTTTGGGAAGGAAGTCGAAGGTAACCCCCCCGTAAATCAGGTATATAAGCCGGAGGTTCACGGTTTTAAGCACCACCGATTGTTCGTTTGCAACAAGCAGGGGGTAGCTCGACTGCTATTGGGTTGGATCTTTAACTTTTTTGGGAAATAAAGGTGTTTTCTACTAAACCACCAAAAAGTTAAACTTTTTGCAGGGGGGTCAACAGCAACCAAGGTAACACATGTGGCGAGTCGGCCCATCTTGTGTTTCTTATGTGAATTGCTTGTCAGGCGATTGGGGTGCGTTTTGCTATGGCTAAGTACCGAGTCAAGAAGATTGAGCAAGAGAAGCTGAATGAAACGCGGATGCTCCCCCAAGCCCAAGACCTTAAGACGCAAAGGACATGTGAGTGCCGCCAACACCGCACAGGTCTGCTTTGTTGTGTCTCGCTTCTAGGCACCCCTTTTGTGAACAACCCTATCAGACAACACATGTGTGTGCAAAGCGCAACCTAGCAAGGAAGGCACGTTTGATCCAGAACAAGCACGCAGTTCAATTCCCATAAGAAAATTTGATTCTTTTGGCTTCTTGGCTTTTTTGGCTTCTTGGCTTTTCGGCTTCTTGGCTTCTTGGCTTTTTGGCTTGGCTTCTCGGCTTCTTGGCTTTTCGGCTTCTTGTTGGTTTATGCGGCTTTTGGTGGCTTTTTGGCTTTGGCTTTTCGCATCCTCTGCATTCCCAGTTCTTCTTCGGCAGGTGGCGTTTTGGCTTTTGGCGGCTTTGGCTTGTCGCATCCTCTGCTTTCCCAGTTCCTCTCCGGGCTTTTTTTGCTTTTGCACCCTTTCATTGGTTTTTGGATTTGGCTTCCCGAATCATCAGCATCACCTTTTGAATCATCACTTCTTCGAACATCATGGGGGGGCTTCCCCCCCCCAACCCACCCGCTACTTTTTAGATTGTTTGCAGAGTAATTGCACCCCTACTAGAATCAACACTTCTTCAAACATCATCGGGGGGGCTGCCGCCTCCCCCCAACCCCCCCCCGCCCGCTACTTTTTAGATTTCTTGCAGCGATTTAATTGCACCCCTATTTGAATCATCACTTCGTCGAACATCATGGGGGGGCTGCCGCCGCCCCCCAACCCCCCCCGGCTACGTTTTAGATTTTCTACACAGATTAAATTGCACCCCTATTTGGAATTGGGGGGGGGGTCGCGCCCCCCAAAGTTTCCCGCTACTTTTTAGACTTTTTGCAGGGATTGAATTGCCCTCCTATTTGAATCATCATTTGTTTGACCCCTTCAACTCGCCAGCTACTTTTTAGATTTTACCCACGAGTTGTTGGTGATGCTAGGGATGTTGGTCGGACATGCGGGGGATGTTGAAAACGATGCTGGGACATTTGCGTGTCCCTGTTCACACTTCGCAACGCTCCAATGGGTGTATCTGGATTTCGAATGAATGCTGAATACATGGCATGCTACAACGCCGGGTTCCGGAGACGGCCGGCCGGTAAGGAGCAGCTCTTTCGAGGTGCTGGAGACAGCGTGCGGGGCTCATTTGACCTCAGGCCAGTTCGTAGCTGAAGAATGAATCGGGGCAACTCACAGCAATGTCACAACGGACCTCACGCAGGATGCAATTTGTATGATGGGGAATCCCGATTTTGGGCTGATGTTGTTGTCCTGTAGCTGGCCCTGAGTTATCGGTACTTGCAACTCTTTAGTGGCTCATTGCTCTTCGCCTGTCTGACAGTTGGGCGTGGTCGCATTTTCCGGGTGTGGCTCCCACAAAATGATGTGATCCCATGTTTACTGCTAGGAAGCTTATGGATGAGCTGCTGTTAAGTTTGACCTTGTGCCTCTGAGGCCTGTTTGACAGGCTTAACACAGGCATTTGTGTCCACCACTCATTTTGGCTTTTTGATGTAGCTGTGGACAATTTGAGTTCGCTTGGCTAGCTGCAGTTTGCACAATGTCGGATTAGCCGCAACCTGGCAATCCATCAATTCAAAGATAAATGCGGTCATGCCTTGCATTTGAGGATTTCATAGTTCTTAAGACTAATTTGCTTCCCTCCAAGTCCAATCCACTCAGGGAGGTGTCCGGTAGTATTGAGCCCAGATGAGAACAGCTTGGGGATTCATGCGCGGGTATGTCTCCCGCAAGACATCCGGAAATGGGTTACGATGAATCTTGGTTTAGTCATTAACGTTGGGTTCTCGCGCCAACCCCAAAAAGCACGGTATTTTCCACACCTAGTGCTTCTCCAACCCCCAAATCTGGGGTCTCAGAAAACATGTACTTATTGATTGATTTATTTTGCAAGGTTGGCGAAAGAAGAAGCAGACCCGGAACTCGGAAGCGATTTTGGTGACCCTTGGGGTTGGGCCGCGAAAGGGTACTTGACTCAGCTGGAGGTGCAGCAGCGGGACTCCGAGCAGCGCCGCTTTAAGGAGCCCGGCTTTGCGGCATTCGGGAAGAATGTTCAGGTTTCCATGTTCCCCTGTGTGGAAGCTGGGGGGGGGGACCTTAGTCTCCCCCCCCACACATCCCCTTGAGGTTGAGGCGAAGTTTGTTTGCGCCTGCCCCTTGAGGTTGAGGGGATGTTGGAATGTGCTGCAGTTGAAGGGCGTCCCCAAATATACACCCGAGGGTGTCATATGTTTTGCCGCCTTGAGCTTAAGCAGGTTGGGTCGCACCCATTTTGTGAACCAAACGGACATCTCACCGCAGTGGTGGTGTTTGCTTGATGTTGCCGCACAGTTGCTTCTCGGAGCAGGACTTCATGGACATTCTGAACCCGTAAGGTAATGCATGTTCCAAAACACGACGGGGACGCTTCCGTTTTGAACAAAACACATTCATGTGCATGGTGGCGTGTTTCGGCTGACTGATGGCCATGGTTCCAGTAACCTGTGCTTCCCTTACCAGTAACCAACCATGTTTTTCCACATTTGGGTATATGATGGTTCCCTTGGTTGGTTGCTAAGTATACCGTAGCGATATCTGGAAGCACTGGGTATGGCCCTCACTCAGTGGCCCTTCTGCGATTTCTCAATAGGATCAGCTCGACGGGGAGATCGAGTCCCTGAAGTCTGCCATCGCTGATGCCTCCAAAGTGCGAAGCTCAGAGCTTGTGACAAACATTAGTGGACTAGTGGACTTGTTACAATGTTGGTTCATGCTTAAGGTCCCAAAGGTTAACCCATGGAAAACCAATTTCCAGGTTGTCTGGAGAGCGGAATGGCATCAACCTCGCACGTTGGGCGTTTTCAGGCGGCTTCAGGCTTGGAGCCCACGGACCATGGGCACGCACGACCCCAGACAAAAGCCGTGAAAGCGCGGGAGGGGGGCTGGCAACCATTTGAAGGTGAGTGCTTGATTCATGTGATTCCCTTTTGGAATGCTTCTCGTCGTGAAACTGATGAAATTACAGGGTGTAGGGTTGAACATGGAAAAGGCGTTCATCAGGGGCGAGTGTTTGTTGAGGGCCGGACTCTTATTTCAGCTCGGTAAATTGTAGCCACTTCTAATCATTTACCGATGTTTTGGCTGCCCGAGCTGTGACTCCACCCTGAAAGATCCAAAAGAGCGCCAGACATCTGCCTGAGGCGAGGTCCCAAGCGGATGACGACATTGTGGCAGCCCTGAACCATTACACCAAGGACAGTCTTCTAATTTGGGAAGGACTTGCACGGACAGGCCAAATTTCCTATGTCCCACAAAGTGACATGTTGTCTGTGCGGTCTGTGGGCTGTGGAGCATCCAAGTATCAAGGGCACCACACGTATCCCCAGAGATTCCTGAAAGCCCCCACAGGGTGCTGGCTCAAGATTTGCGAAATGGCACTTTGGGCTCACATGGTTTGTGCCAGGAGCTTCAACAGGCGGTGAGCTCAGTGAGCCGGGAGCCCAAACTCAGCCCGCATGATGGAGCTGCGCTTGGGCCGAAGGAGCCACAAATCAAACCGAATTAATTGGAAGGTACACACCAGTCTCAAATGAGTCGGACTTAAAGGGAGCCCAACTCGCTGAACAAGAGTCATTGCGAGTTTCTATCTGCTTAAGGTGAGTCTTTATATATTTTCTTCCGAGGTGATGGCGTAACTTCGCACGCGCCTGCGTGTGCGTGTGCATGTGCGTGTGCATGTGGGTGTGGGTGTGGGTGTGGGTGTGTGTGTGTGTGTGTGTGGGTGGGTGGGTGTGGGTGTGGGTGTGGGTGTGGGTGTGGGTGTGGGTATGGGAGTGAGTTGTTTGGTGTTGCAATCAAATAGAGGTCAGGAACCGACTATTTTGACTGCACATGTATGTTCATCTTAGTAGATATCTATGTCGGTTCTTTTTTAGGAGGTGTGAACTGTGAACAGGGACCTGAATGTGACACCAACCATTTGGATGGGGGCTGTAGCCATGCATGCCTATGAAGCTTAGCTCTTGTGGCTAGAGTTGATATCAGTCCCAGGTTTGTTCAATGTTGGCCAAGTCGAGCCATTTTGTGTGCTGACCCGCAGTCCGCATTAGCCTGTTTTGTCTACATCCCCTTGAACAAATTGCCGTCTGAAAGTGGTATCTCACTCGTGGGTGATCACAAATTGGGTTCTAGCAAGTTGGCTTGCAGTATAAGGTGTCACACACATGATCGTCATTGAACGCAAGCTGGAGCCTGTTTGTTAGAATCTGTTTAGGATCCCCCGAAGCTGGTTCCAGTGAAACCACCCTCAGCTGTTCAATTGCTATTTCTAAAGGGATTTGTCAACATGGTTGGCTTCGTTTTGGTGTTCTTTTTGAAACCCGTCTAAACATGCTTCCCTTTGTTTTTGTCCTTGGTGCGTCGTTTTTTGCACCTTGTCACTTTGGCTGCCAATTGGATGGCATTTCCCTACGCCATGCCGAGGCCAGGGCAGTCTCCAGGCAGCGCTGCGCTAGCCGCTGGCCTGAATTCAGGCCGGATGCCGCGGTTTCTGGCAGTGGCTAAAGCAATGGATAGTACCCGTGTACCGAAAATGACGAATTTTGCTCAGAGTGACAGATGGGGCAAAGGCTTATTGAAGCGTATGGAGCTTCAATCGGCTTCAGCGTGATAGATTGATTAACAAGCTTCAAGGGTCATCGTGGTCTGTGAACATGGTGGTTCTGCGAAAATCATGGTTTCGAGGCTGCAAACTGTGACATTCCTTCAGCCTTAAAACGATTCGGTTCATGGCTGTCAAAGCCGCCCAAGCCAGGTGCCTGGTTTGGGCCCCAGGCGTGCCTTTCTTGGGAACCCCCTTTTGGTTTCAAGTTGGCAAACCGGAAGGAAGCCAACCATTTTGAAGTTCCGCCTTTTGGCACGGCCATTTCGCATCGCTCGACTTCGCGAGGACTCTCGATCCGATCTTTACAGTGATGGCCGTGGGAACTTGGGCTGTTGAATCAGATGGCCCGGGAGTCAAGGGGGGGTTGGAGGCAGTTCCGTGAGGCTTCCCGCCAATAACTGATGCAACAACGACATGAGGTTCACTGTAAATGAAGCAAACGGCATCCACCAGATACAACAAAACCCTCTATCACATGAGAATGCCTTGCATGTTCCACTTTTACCACTTGCAATTCGTTTGCGAGTTGAAGCTGTGCTTTGCAGATGAGACATATTTGACGGATGCGTTACAGCTTTTGATGAACTTTGAATCATAAGAACCTGAGGTCCTCGTTTCCACGGTCCTTGCACTGCGACAAAGAGGTAATCAGTGGTGACACATTTGATGTAGGGGCGCTCCTTAGGGCACCCACCCTTGACTCGCAGAGGTTTAACAACATTCCCGGCTTTTGTAGGAATTTGGATGGAGCTGTTGATCCGCCCTCTAAGAGCCGTGAATTCACCTAAAACAGGGAACCAACCGATGAAATCGACCTAGATGCCCCCCTTGACCCACCAGATCGCCGCGCTGCTTGTGTTCGGCCCGCGTAGGTTGCTTCACCCGTAGGGTGGAAACTAGCCTCGGGCGTCACAGGGAGCCCAAGCTGGTCAAAGGGAACCACGCCCACTTATCCCTTTGAAGCATAACCCGAAGTGGTCCGAGCAAAGCGCCTTGCCGGCAGTGCTGAATGATCCACATGTTTCGAAATGCGAGAAGAAAAGAAGGCGCAGGTGCAAGGCGTGCAGATTGTTCGGGAAGGCCTGAAGGAACTCTACCACTTGCACAGGGTGTTCTGGGGATTTGTTCTCCTTCGCATTTGGCGTTCCAACACATGACCCAGAGCGCTTTTCGTCCCATGATCACTGGTTGCAGCTAGGATTGCATTGGACCGAACCAGCGTTTTCCTTGGTCACTGGAAGACCCTGGAAAAGTGGGGGCAACGTGCTGCCGGCAGTTGGCATCGTTTTGCCTTCCTCTTTCATGCGAGGGCAGGCCCTTGTATTTGGTTGTATCCGAGTGTTGGAGTTGTTCTTTTTAAGACCTCAATTGTTCTGAATATTAGGAAAGGGATCCACTTTGCCATCGCTGACTTGTTGTTTGCTTGTGCCTGCGCGTGGATGAAGGCTGGCATTGCTCATGCGGTTGGGACTAGTCAACATTAGTGAACCAGGTATTCCGGACAAGGAAACCGAGTTTGGAGATGCATCAGGCTTCACGGCAAGCTGTTGCCACAATCAGCTAAAGTGGGATTGTTTGCTTGGACAGCGCAGCTTATGCGCCAGGATTGAGCAACATCGACGATGATGCCCCAAACCTTCTTTCCAATTGAGGGCCCAGCTCTGGAGTGAGTGTGGTCATGTGAATGCATATGACCGGACAGCAGTTGACAAGAGGAATGCAACAAGCGCTTAAGCCACGGAAGGCTAAGCGTTCGGTGCAGTTTCTGTTGGGTCAGATTGCAGCGGAATTTCAGTATGAGTGTCGTCGTAAGGTGTTTGGGGTGTGGTGCTTATTCCCGATGACGCAGCTTCATATTGGTCCAGGAACAAGCGAGTCCTCCAGGAGCAACATTGATTCACGACTTGCAAAGGGCCTGAAGCAATCGGGTTTTAGCCTGCACCAGCTATCATGTGTGTGTGTGTGTGGGGCCCGAAACAAACCCTCCATTTTGTAAGAGCCTATGTGGCTATGTTATTTTTGGGTGATTACACCTAGCACCTGGTTAGTGGACAACAATTCCCCTGTGGCATGGAATGAACGTTTAATGTGCACGAAAGGATTCCCAATTAGCTGCGATTCCCATTTGAGCGGACGGATTCCAGCGGTCTTTATTGCACCCCATGGCTTGACACAGACCTCCAGAGGTCTTGTGCCTGCTATGCCCGGATGTTTGCAGCTGGACTGGCATCCAGGCCCAGGCAGATTGCAAGGACGGGGGTTACCTGGCCATCTTGAAGGAACGGAAACAAAGATCCCGTCTGACAGAAGGTTCCGAAAGGATTGCTTCAGTTTCCCACAAAAGGCAAGCTCTGACAGGGAAAGGATTTGCGTTTTATCAGGTGGGTTAGCGAGTGAGGGCGGTGTAGCAGAGTGGATCAGACCTCTTGGAAATTGAAAACTACAACACGCAAAGCGTGGGCATTGGCTCAAATGACCTATTCTTTTCTATGAGTTTGCGTTCTCTGTGTGTGTGTGCGCGTGCAGTTCAGATATCATGTGTTAATGTATTGCCTGAGCTTGTGTATAAACATGTTGTTTCTTTGCCTCCCATGCGCGTAAAGGTTTCGGCCAAGTGAGCATGCCCGATGTTCATGGGACAATGATGGCTTTTCCTGAAGGTCGTGACGGGGAGTCGGCTTGTTGAATTGCGGGAGAGTCACTTGGGGTTATGCTGTTTGAGGCTATACTTGTTTGAAACAACCCATTTTGGAGGTCCCTCTATCTTCATGCGAACGCATGGCACGAGGCCTCGGAGTCCAGGTAAAGGTCCCGAAGGGCCTAAGGGTGTTTTCAAAATTATCCCTCCAGGTGGTTGATGTCCGTTTGTTTTCCCTTTACTGTTTTGGGAAACACCCGGAATCTACTGTAGGAAAGCCGACAGCATGGGCACACTCACCAAAGAGGGTTTACTTGCCCAGTTGGTTCAATATCAGGTGAGGATGCAAACTTACTGTCGCTTAGCTCCATATTTCGCAAGCGACGCTCTCGTTTGGGCAAACCTAGTAGCCTATAGCGCTCTTTCCAAGTGCGGTTGCGACCTCGCCCCATGACAAAGATGTCCTTGTTTCCGGTGGGATAGAATTTGATAGATTCCCCGGATTTACACAAGGCAACCACTCTACGACCTGCCCAAGATCACGTGTCCCCGGTCTATACCTCTGAAATCCTCCACTTCAGCAGGCCCCTGGTATGTCTCAAATGCTTTTAGCTAGTATGCCAGATTTCATGCCATGTAGCTCTGTATAGGACCAAGCCCTCTTTGTGTTGTCCCTCATTTTGGGCGAGCAACGCTAGGACCTTGAGCTGTGGATGCAGCTCTTCGACAGAGCCTTTTCTTTTGGAAAGGCAACTTATTATTGCCTGGAACGCTTAATTCAACCCCACCACAAACCCACCATAGAGCAATCCTAAGCCCAGCCACCGTAAACCCAGCTTAAAGAAACCCCAACCGCCCTAACCCGCCAAAGCAAAACCACCCATCATAGCCCCCCTCGCAAGCTCGGGGGAAATCATTGGCTTCTTGCAGGAGCCCGAGGGAGCTCTGCCTGGCACTTGGAGACAAGCTTGTCGGCCTGATGAGAAGGAGAGTGTGTGTGTGTGTGTCAACCCTCAGCTACTCGATAGTGCTTTTGGTCATCTCCAAATCCCAGCAAACATGCAGGTTTCGCAAACCGCAGCCTCCTGGCTCACAGGAGTGTTCGAACATCCGGGGTCGTGAACTCACGGAACTCTGCGCGACCGAGACAAATCGCGGCGCGAGATGTGGCTCCGCGTCTTCGCCGCGGTGCTGGGGCTGCTGGTGGCGCGCTTCCTCACTGCGTGCTTCGTGCAGGACCGGTGGGGCTCATGGTCATCATCATGTGAACATCTCACATGCCCAAACAGTCGGAGTCATTGCAGCACCAAAGCCCAAAAAAGAGCGAAGCAGATGTTTGCAATATAGACTAATGTTCGGAATGTTGTTTATCCTTGTTTTGGAGTGGTGCCAAGCTGTTGTGACCCATGCTGTTGAACCCACTCCAGGTAAGTGGCTTCGAAATATGTTTGTACAGTAAGTGGGTAGTTCCCTCACTGCCTCGAGTACAATCCATGTATCATGGCAATGTGGCAATGAGGGACACAACTGTTACGAGAATTCTGCGCGTGGTGCTGACAACCCTGCAACCAGGTTGATCGAAACCTACTTATTCTAGTCAAGGTTATAGCCATGGCCATGACCGAACTAGTCCCCTGTGATTAACCAGTCAAGACCTCGGTGCGGGTCTAACGCAAGCCATACGTGGATAAATACAATTTCGCCATTTGCCTATGGGTTCCCTGTTGAGCATCCAGTCTCTATTCATGACCAAACAACCACCGTAGAGGTATAGAACAAATAAAAAATGAAGTCTTTCCAATACCCGGGCGTTTGGCTGGGCACGAAGGCCCCAGCCTCGAGCTCCGTCCGGTCGCGCCTGGTGCCCCGAGCTCCCCGGGTGGAGCCTGCAGCTTCGGCGACGGGTTCGGCCGCCTCGGCGTCTGCTGCGCTGCCGTGGCTGGTCTTGGCAGGCAGGGCCCCAGGGCTTCATGGCTAGTTTCAAGACTTGGAACCAAGTGGTGGATATGAATCCTCCCCATGTCCAGACATTCCCCTAAAGTCACACCCTTGGCCCGCCTTCCGGAACTCGGATTGCATTGTTTCTACCTGGCGCGACAGAGATGCCATTGCGACGTCCATGGACGCATGAGTCTTGCACCTTGCAAGGTGCTGTCAAGTTGAAGCTGTCCTGTAAAGTGCATTGGGGTTCACGGTGAGGCTCAAACATACTGGAGATATGCATGGAAGTTCCTGACTCTCTCAGAGCTCGTATTGACCGTTCGTAAATGGCAACCTCCAGTTGGCTCTGATCTTCACCAGTTCCTTGTTTTAAGAAGATCACACCCAGGGTTTTGCATCGAATGTATCCACCAAATAGTATCCACTGCGCGGCTCATTCGGCCAGGTGTGGGCGTCGCGGCAGGAGCGGGCGCTGAGCGCCATCCAGGTTGAAGCTTCTGGCAGTCCGAGTGTGGGTTTTAGCAACGTACTCCCCACCCTTAAGTTGGCTTGGGAGTTGGCTGGGGAGTTTCTTGCCGAAAGAGTGGCAACCCAACGAATCAAAGGGCACTCACTTCCCCTGTTCAGGTCCCTTTCAGGATGCTATGAGTCCCAACCTGCCCGGAGCAATGTATGAAAGGGGTGGACGGGATGTTTCCTACAGTACGAAAGTTTTTCCATTTCACGGGGCCCCTCATGTCTGGACCCGAGTCACGTCCAACTTCCCAGCACCAGGTGTTTCTCAAGCCAGACTGGAAGCTGGGTAGTTTTGAAAACGGGGAAGCCTGAAAAGCGCTGGCTTCTTTTTATTGACCATTCAACACCGCGACCCCCCTTGGTACGAAGCCCCCTGTGGGATTTCATTGCTGGAACAGGCGTAGTTAGCCCTGTGAGCCACAGCCACTTAAACTGCGTTCAACCAGTGTGATGAGTCTGACAGTTGGTTTCCCGTTCTCACCCCTGTTTGCTGTTAGTTGAAGTGTGAGTTTGCCTTTCAAAGTTAGCACACGAAAAGAGGTGTCCAGTTCTTCCTATGTCTGCTGGGCAAGTGGGCTTTCTGTCACACCCTGTTCAGGTTTTCCTTTTTTGGGGTTTCAAGCTTCGAAGGGGCTCAACTACTTCAAGAACTGGAAGAATGCTTCCCTTGTTTGGGTTCCGGCTACGTACCTCTGGCTGGTGTGGGCGCGGCTCTCCATTTCGACGCAGGAGCTTCCCGCAAGGCCAAGACCGCGCGCAAGTCCTCGCTGATCGCGACGCGCCCAGATCAGGCGCGAACCCGTGCGAGTTGCCTCCGGCTCCAAATTCGGGACCCCCGTATTGGATTGGTTTAAGGGAAAGCCAAAAGGACACCCACATTTGTTCATTTTTGGGTGGGGTTGGCTATTGCGGGATTCACCCAAATGCTTGTTGCTTGTCGCTGTCACTTACCCCCTTATATGGCTGCTACCTAAACCTGAGAACTCCCTTTTGCGGTAAGTTGCACACGTGCAGTCAAGGCAAACCAGCCACGTGTCTAGCCAAGTAAGTTCAAGAATATGCCGAAAACCGGTTGGACTCTTGCAACCATTTGACAGGGTCTTTTCCCTCCGGCTGAGTGGGTGAGCTTCACAGTTGCTTTGCGCAGCTGGACTTCAACAAAACTACTTGTGCTGTGTTTAGCCAGTCAGATTAAGTCAAAATTTGTCACATGTCCAAGGGAGCGGCCAAGTCCCTTGCCGGCCCATGGGAACGAGCTTTACTTCAAAATTGGTGAGGTTTATAGTGAGGGCCTAAGCCTGCGTGTGTATGTGGGCGCGTTCTTTGGGGTGCCCCCCCCGCCCCGTTTTGGGGTTGCGTTAAAGGTTAAGCCAAAAAGGACCCCCCCCCCAGCCCCCCTTGCACCTTGGCTGGTGACAGAAGCTACTTCGGCTGCGCCAGGCACTCCCATGGTGGGAGCGCTTGTCCAAGCCAACTATCGAGCCGGGCATCGGCATTTGGGCGGAGAAGTTGAACATGACCACCATCTTTCAAGAGGAAACTCCACCATCTTGTAGACTTGTTGGATGCTCCAACTGTGGGAATTCACCCATTGCACTGGTTTAGCAGTCTTTGGCGCATTCCAAGGGACATCCACGGGTGGGGCATCCAAAACAAGTCCTAGCTTTGGCTTGATCGGGTTGAGTTATTCAAAAGGAGCAACCGAACACAAGTTTGTGAGGTTGTGAGACATAGCCTGAGGTAGCGTCGTTTGCTACCTGTTTCGGTATCACGTCATGCCGCGTTTGTAGGAGTCCTGAAAGGGTTCACCATTTCGTCAACCTCAAGAAGATGTGCTCGTCGCAAGAAACAAGAAGGACACCCCCCAAAGGTTAGATTGGGTGAGCCCCCCAAAAGACATTGAGGTTGGTGCGATCCTTTTGCTTGGAGAGACAAGAGAACCACTGCACCAGGGCCCTCAATCACCCAACAGTCAAGCAGCCATTATATGAGCCGTAGCAAGAGCACTTGGCCACCAGCAAACTGTTTAAAGAGGTCTCCAACTTTGAGACACCCACGTGAGTGTGTCCAACATCGCCCCGAAAATGGCAACAGTGTCTTTTGATGTATATGTACACACACATATATATATATATATACGCACACAAATGGGTGGTTCATGGGTGGCCTTGACCGTATGTCTACACCCAGAGTAAGGCAGGACTTTTACAATGCTCCGCGACAGGAGGAGGGCAATGTGAAGGCAGTCCCTGCGACCATCTTGGTGGTCAAGCGAGGTGAGCGGGCGAGCTGCAGCGTGTTTCTCTTGGAGCATTGAGTGAGCCCCCAAATAGTCTGATGTCGGGAGGGCAGCTACAAAGTGTTTGAACCCCCCAACCTCTTGTGAGAGGATCCCAGTCCTTTTGGAGATGATGTTCAAGGGCTGAAGAAGCCTTAGCGTCTTAGAGTCTTGGTAAAACCCAACATCCAAAAAGTTTGCTTTCTGATGCCTTTTTCAGCGTCGAGGCTACACACACTAAAATGGGTGGTGGAGCCGAATGTCATACCCCATCCCACCAACATGCAACCCTGCAGGTCCTTAGGAAATTGGTTTGGGGGTTCTCTCAGCCTCCACGAGGGTGGGTGGGCCATGGGTTGACCCCGCAGGTGGCAACATGATCACCAACAAGCGGTGGCCAGAGAAGCACGGGCATTACTCGGTGCAGGTGGGCTATGAGCGGTACACCCCAGATGAGCCGCCCGCCTGGTTTGCCGGAAGTCAGGGAGCCGGGTGTGAACAACTGACCAAATATTTGTTTTAATCATATAATATACATATATATATATATATACACATACATACATACATACATATATCCATGTAATATATATGTATACACATAGATTATTTGTTTGAAGGATCCAGTGTCAATATCATGGCCATTGAAAGGGTTCCGAACCCATCAAAGTCAATTAGTGCACTGTTGGGATAGGAAATGCAACGAACCCCGCCTGACTAGACTCTTGGAAGTCTACTGGGGGGACATGGGGTGGCCACCCAAATTTCCCACAAATTCACGGGGACCACCCGGATACTCCTTTGGAAGACGCATCTGTTTTTTTGCTTTTCTCTGAGGCTTATGTGCTTCAAACTGGGAGAGTGTCTCCCACTCGGATGGTGTCCAATGTTGTTGGTGATCAAGAGCCATCTAGTAACAGCAATGATTCACAGCTGGGATGCTATTAAGCGAGGTCATCATTGAACTGTCGGCATTTGTAGGCATATATGTTCTATGGGGAAGCCTGCAGTTGAAGAGATCCATATGAGGTTCGTTGCTTTTTAGACTCTCAACTGCGGTGATTTTCCAGTGGTTTTCCCTGAAAACAACCCTGAAAGACGGCCCATCACACAAAAAATCATCCCCCAGATTGCAGACTACAAAACAGGTAGCATCCTCAATATAGGTTGTTGGGAAACATGCAAAGGGGATGGCAACACGGATTTGTTCGACATGTTGCGTGTCATTTTGGAGGATCTCGTTTGGTGTGTCAGCTTTTGTATTCCCATGTTCTGATTGACCTTGAACATGAATTTGTGTTTGTCCATTTCAGCTTTCTGTGCTCTGCATTTTTTGTGTGACATCAAACAATGGAGTCCACTAGCCCCCCTCCCCCTATAATCCAAGGGTAACTTCCCCTTGTTGGCATTTTTCTTGGATCAAGCGAGTCCATGCAGTGTTAGTGGCACGGGTGCTTTGCTTACCTTGTTTTATTTTAGACGTCCCCTAAATGTCCAGCTCAACGTCGACAGCATCAATACCAAGCAGCCTGCAGAAGGTCCACAATCCTGTTTTTCGTTGTTTTTTCTCAGATTTCAAGCAGGGACCCTCCACAAAGTGATCCTGGGGTGAGGTGGGGGGGGGCTTTAGTTTTCCTTTCCAAAAGGAAGCGCCGCCCTTCTGAGGGCTGAGAAGAAGACCCGCAAAATGCTCCAGATTCAGCGCCTGGCGCGCAACGAGTGCCCGCCCTTGCGGAAAATCAAGGACTTCCGCGTCAGGCTGGGGTGGGTTGTTGGTGCTTGCTTGGTTGGCTGATTGCTTGGTTGGGCGGTTGATTGCTTGGTTGCTGGTCAGTTGGCTGAGATGTCCTTGGGCGTGTTTGGCTGAACATAGATGGTGCAGATTCAGTTTTAACCCGGGCCTAGATTTTAAAAGGATACCTTGGGTGGGGGGAGAGGTGCCAGGGGTCTTTATTTTACCTATCTTCATTCTTTTGGGTTGCGCTTCAAACAGCCCGGCTGAGGTCTCTGTTGACATCATTCTGCAGTTCAAGTTTCACTAAATATGGACCGAGGTAGAGAGCTGGACAGCGTAGCTCTCAATTTGTTCCGGCAAGCAGTCCAGGTGTGTGTGTGTGTGTGTACCTTATACCCATGCGGCCCTAGGCAAATGACCCCAAAAGGCATGTCCATGTAGGAGACATGACTTCAAGAGGCTAATTGCGGTTCATAGCTCTATCCCTAACGTGGGTTGGAATCCTTAAAGGGTGTACATACTCTCTATATACAACGAGGGCTGGTAATGAGGACAGCGCGGGGTACGAATAAGGGATATGTAACGGTATGTACTTCCGCTCTCAGGATAGCAAGTCAGGTCAAAGAGAGGTTTGAGCTCGCTAGCGCAGTCCGATACGACGTGACGAATACGAGGCCGCACGACTGGATGAAGTGGGAGGTGGGACAAAAGGTTTGGCCCTCCGACTTCCTGGAGGAGGGTGACCTCATTGACGTGCACGGCCCCTCGGAACGTGGAAACACTGGGTGAGAGTGACATCCGGGAAATTGCCGAGCCAAATTGTACGGGGAACACCAAGACCCCAAAGGCACTTTGAGAAACTCTCGGAGTGCAACCACTTTCAGGGGACCAGTCGGAGGGACCAGGGTTTTACCATGTTGAGAGTAAAAGGGACGTCTCAAGAGGGTTTCTGCAGTTTGTTGGCCCCCTTTGGGGAAATGGAGGCTCATGCTTAGTCTGGGCTGGTGGTCATCTTTGTGGTCTGCAATGGACGATGCTGGGTTAGGATTGACACACCATCCGTTTTGATCAGCCCAGTTAGGCGGAAATGACCCCCTTCCCACCATAGAGAGGATACTTGTAGGAAGTGGTGTTCGGGATTATGTCCATGTTCCCTACTAAGTCACTTGCAACCAAACCACATTGACAGGACCTGACCTTGAACAAGTTCAAGCTGGATTTGTTTGGCCCGCTAAAATTTTGGCGCGCCGTTTGTTTCCCCCTGCTTACATAGCGGCAGCACAGGGGCGATTAGTTTATACTTTGATCGGTGCTTTGGTTGCAAGCTGGAATTAGTGCAGAAAGGTGAAAGCAGAGAAGATTGACCCTCACACATCCCCTCACAGCAATGTGCATGATGTGAGCAGAGGATGATATTGCATGTGGTTTTGGGGTTTGGCATGCTGCATGTTCTACCACGTGGCGATAGCTTGTATCCCGCGCGTTTGTGCTCTAAGGGTTCGAGCATTAATAGTTAGCGTGCCCAAGAGGAGAACCGGCCAGTTTTGCCACTTGCAGCGCTGAGAATCGGTCTCCGACGTTGAAAGTCATGGGGACCACTCCAGCAAGAGTAGGCAACAGTCCCAGATTGTTGCCTGACGCGCGAGGGAAAGCAGCAAGCGCAGCTGGGAATTCAAGTTTGTTTGTCTGAACAGAGTGCCCTTAAAAACGCACAAACCCAACTAGTTGTGCCATTTCAAGTGCGACGTTTTGAAGATATGATTGGCCAGACTCTGGAGTGCAGACTCACAGATGCGGTTGTGGCAAAGGGTTGGCAATCACAGTTGACAGAGGGGTGTTTTGTTTGGAAGGCCTTTTCAAGGCACCTTAGGGTCACGTCAGTGTAAATCAGTTTGACAATGACTACCTAGAGGGAACAGCTAGTGTACTGCAACCTTTGAATAGCTTATGTTGCTTTGCTATTCCGTTCGAATTTCTGAGCAAGATGGATAGGATGTGGTACAGGTATCCCAGTTTCACTTTATCATTGTCCAATATGAAGGGACTTACACGTTCAGTGGCAAGTTCCGGCCGATGTTCCCCACTGGATTTCTCAGACGTGCTCCAACCCCTTCTTACATCTGCAGAAGTTCACTCTCATTTGGTTCGGATTGTTCTCTTGGCCGACTTGAAATTCATCGGACTCGGGCCGGCATCCTTCGCCGCACTCAAGGCTGGGCCAAGGGCAAGGGCTTCGCAGGGCGCATCAAGAGGTGGGGCGGAAAGATCGGGCCCATGACCCACGGCTCCAAGCATCACAGGACGGGAGCGGAGCGTCAGAGTGAAAGGCTTAGCACTTGAAGCGTTTGGCCGAGAGTCGAATTCTTTAGTGGAGTTGAGTCGAGTAAGGTCGAGTTGAGTCAAGTTCAGTCACGCTGCGTTAAATCGAGCTGAGTCCAGTTGTAAGTTCGATGAGGCGAGTTGCTTTTGTCGATTTGACTTGCTTGGACGAGCCGTTCTTGAGGTGTGAAAATTGACAGGGGATTTCAGACCCAGCAAAAGGGAAGGCCCCGGCATGCATTTGCAATCAAGCAGCCCTCACGACGCATGGTTACTTCTCCCGACTGGCTTGTAGCGAGTGCCTCCACTTCTAGATTGTGGTTAAGATGCGAATTATCCAGCCAAACAAAGAAATATCAAGCTGGCAAAGGCCCAACCCATCGGGCAACAAAGAACAAACCACCAAAACATGCAGCGGCCATTCTACCATTTTTGCTGTCCTGCCCACAGGAGAGAGGGTTCCATTGGTGCAGCACGACCCAAGCGCGTGTTGCCGGGCAAGAAGCGAGCTGGCTGGATTGGCGCCCCAGCTGAAAGTAAAGTGCCCGCTTGCCTTTTTTGCTTTGACAACTTGTCAGCCGAAGTGTCAGAACCCTATTGGCTTGGATGAGTTTCCCTTCCAAACCAACAATCTTATTTGTTTCTGGCGGCCTCTGGGCTTGCTGTTGTGCAGCTGAGAAAGTGCTGGGTTGCGCGTCTTTCCATCAGCATCCTTGGTTCGGAGCTTGAGTGTGCAGTTCCAGGCTGAGATTGCAAGCCCAAGGCGGCAAGCCCAGCATTCGATGAATTTCCTCACCTGGGATCAGGCTTTTGGATCGAAGTCTGGTGGCGCAATGTGAATGCAGTTCAGGCGGCAATGGTTCCAACACTGGTTACCCTTCCAACACCAAACACGGAAGAGTGTGCGGCCCAACTTTGGATGACTACTTTCCTTTTAGACAGGCGATTTGTGCACTTCCATGTTTCTTGGCGGCAAGGCAAAAGGCAAAAGGCAGAAGATGCTTGAATTGCCTGCAGGATGGTTGGCAAAGATTGGCAACGGGTGTGTGTATGCGTGTAGTCCGCCGTCAGGAAAGTGATTCTTCCTACGCACTAGTCGCCCTCCCGTATGTCAAGACATTCGGATACTGCTCGAGAAATATGCACTGGCAATCCTGGCAGTTTCTCTCCAGCTCGTGTGGACCCAAGGTGCTTGCAAGAGCATTGCCCACAACTTGAAGATTCTCAAGATCATGGATCACATTGATGAGGCGCGATCCATTGCAAGCATGCCCTAAGTTGGGTCCAGCTTGGCAAAAGGGCGGGTAGATCGCAGGCACGAAGGAAACGTAGAAATTCGGAAGAAAAGATGTAGATTCGGTGCGGTTCCTACTGTGCAGGAGAACATGCCCGAATCTGTCATCGTAGTCAAGGGCACTGTTCCCGGCTATACCGCCCACTGGACGAGCGGCGGCTCCTACGTGTGGCTGCACAAGAAGAAGAATCGCAATGATGGACGCTTTAAGCGTGATCCCGTGTGGCTCTGGTTCTACCACAAGGGAGAAGGCTCGTCTCGCAACACGGTAGCTTGAAGCCGCATGCAAGTTGACAAAGCTTTGCACATTGTTTTTGTGTTGTTCTTGCATTTGTTGACCTCCCACAATGTCATTTCGTCTTCGGCGGTGCCCCTTGATTCTCTCCTCGCTGGTCTCCATTGTGTTTCTTGTCCAAGCTGTTTACAACAGGAACTGGAGAGGGATCACGCATTGAATTGTTCCATGCTGGAGACTGCCCCGACGTGTCACGAGCCCGAGTTTCAATTGGTTTGGGGAAACGGGCTCTCCAAAAGAAGCCTGTTTAAGACTCAGGAGCGCATCCAGTCAATCCTGATAATAAATCTGACAGCGCAGCAAGTGATCCCGTCAAGCAACTTATTTGGAAAGCACGCAATCTACAAGCAACTGCATATCAAGCGCATAGGGAGGCATCCAAGATAAAGGCCCGGGTAGCGGGTTGTCAATGTTGTGGCGGGGGCGTCAAACCGTCCGACGTTGTTTGAGTTTGTAGAACAATGCAGAGACCAAGAGAAGCCTGGTGTCAGTACGAGGCCATGGTTTGTTTCTTCCCTTTTGTGGTCCTGCTGGTGATGCTGGTGGTGCCTGTTGGTTTGCGTTTGTCAGCTGTGCCAGGTGTGGACCCTCTGGTGCCGATCAAGGAGAAGGCCTGGACCTGGAAGACCATGTGGGGCCGCGACCTGCGGTGGCTCACCACGGAAGTGAAGAAGCACTGGCCCGACGGCTTCCCAGGCTATGACCACATCATGGACGGGGCTTCGGCTCGTTTGGGGCACGTGCTCACTTGGGGGTTTGTTGGCAGGGGTGGTCGGAATGGTCGAGGAAAAAGCATCTGGGTGGCGGCAACAGAAAGGGGTTGGCTAGGAAGTGCCAGGCAGGAAATGTGAGAGAGTGGGGGATGAATATTTTTTTGAATCTTGGGGAGGGCAAGTTAGCACCCCCATCTTCGAACTGGTTGAGTAAACTTTCAGCGGAAAATGGGTGCAGAGCGCACGTTGGGAATTGCTGGACTGTCAATCAAGCTGCCTTTAGTCTTTTGAGGCTCGTGCCAGAAGCGTCAAACAGCATTGACGGCAGAGACTGCACGATTGTGTGTTCCGCCAGTGTGACTGGCATTGGGGCCTGTTTTATGCGGCCACGGGCTGGGTCTTGGAATCATCAGATGTTTGGCTCAAGCTCATGTCTGTTCTTGTTGTCCGACAAAGCGCTCGACGTTGCCGCGGAACAGATCTGATCGGTCCCCTGTTCCAATCATTATTGGCCGGTGTCTTTGCTGTTGTTTTCTCAGCCTCCACTTGCCCAGGCGTTGTCTTTGCCTCTGCTTTTTGTGGGAAGTGAATGCTATTTGAAAACGTTTTCGTACACTCGTACACTAAACGGGGTCTGGTCATAATTTTTCAAAAAGAAAGACCGAAAGCTTGCAGGATCCTTTCTACGACGACTGCGACCCCCACATTGCGCTGAAAGCGCCTGAGTGGTAGATCGGCCAAGGCGAATTTGAGATGAGCGCTTGGAGAAAAGGGGAGCGGTGAGCAGGCGCCTCATTCAGGTCACTGTGGTACGTGCTACGAGGATGTTTCAGTTTACGAACCCTGTTTTCCCTGGAGCATGAACCAAGCAGGAAACGATGTCCAACTGGATTTGATGCTATATTCCAATCAGAAGCAACGGCATAACGGTCCCTCTCCTGGGCATCCCTTGTTTCAGGCTCGTGAACCATTATTCCTCGCGCTGCAGATTCTGGCTGACTTCCCTGACAATTAAGATGGAACCCTAAAGGAGGTTCATTCATATATAGGATTGCTTCAGGTGCCGGTTATTTTGGGATGTACTCAACGGATTGCTGTCTGGTCCATACTTGGTCATGGCAGACCAAACAGTGAAGACCTTTCATTTTGGTTCTTTGGCATCCTGCACCCCGGGGGTGAATGGTGTTGTTCTGTTGTCCGGTGAGAGCTCACCACATTTGCGGGATTTCTTTTCATGAGTATCAGCAAGGTAGACTAAAGCCAAGTACCGTACGAGTACTCAACAAATGTTGCTTTTCAGGGACGTCACCTCCAAATGTCCTGCAAACGCTTGGGCGAATTGGCCTGTCTTGCTTGGTAATGTTCTTGTTCATCAGGTTTGTTAGCCTGAAGCGTGGTTCGTAGGGTCCTTCGGATCATGCCATGAATCCAACTTGGCCCCTGCTTTTTCCATTCAGCAACAAATGATGGCCATGTGTATGCCACAGCCATAGCGTGTCTTGAAACCCTCTCGAGCTGAGGCACTCGACCTTGTGCTTCCTGAAGCTCGGCATACATCTCTGTGTCGCTAAGCCTTCGCTTCCGCTTCGCTTTTTCTTGCAGTTTGTCAGGGAGGATGGTTTCAAAATGTTTCAATCATCACCTTGCTGGCCCGTTGATGGTGAGTTCGAAGGGGAAATGCAGGGAGCCCTGTTTGTCTTTCTGTGTGAGGGGTGCTTCGCCCAGATGGATTCACCCCTCTGCAACATGTTGAAAGGTTCCTGATCACGCCTTCTTGTTGTTCAGAGGTTTATCATTATATTGTTTTGCGCATGCACAGCTCAACCTCGCAACTGTCTAGCCGAAACATGCCACACAAGGTGCGAACTGTGTTGTAGCTTTCTAATTCTTCAAAAATGAACAAACATACCAGCATCAACGCGAGCGCACACAAGGCTTCATTTTGAGAACCGTCACGGCAGCAGATTTCAACCCGTTTTATCAAGACCTTCCCACACCAAACATGCGCACCTGAGGATGCGTCCGCGTGTGCACTTGCGGGGAACAGAGACACTGTTTTGTCAGACTGTCCAGCTCATCCTCAATGCCCAGCCTTTCCCAAAACAAATTCCAATTGGCGGTTAGTGCTGTGAGCCAGCTTGAGGCCATTCCTGGTGGCGCGGGGCCTCAGTGCGGACTTTGTGGCCCCCGTTGATCCGCGCGGCCCGCAGCTGCAGGCCGCAAGCTTCGGGGCGCCAGCTTTCTGAGCGTCAGCTTCAAGAAGTACATGTACGAGGCAGCCTGAAAGCGGACTTGTGGACTGCGGATTTCAGCCTTTTTGAAAGTGGTATCTCTTTGAGGCATGTATATTCTTATTTGGAAAGGTGGAGGTGGTGAGTTGCATGCCTCAGACGTGCCATTTGCAAACTGCTGGTGAATGGATACAGATTGGGGTCTATTCATGCTCTGCTTCCGAATCCAACCTGGGGCCTTCTCTAAAGTTTAGCGTCTAAACAGTGTGCACAAACGCAACAGATGTTGGGCAAATGTTGGTATGCTCACGTATGTTATTTTCTATGATAGCTGAATATACAATATAAGTCTCAATTGTACGAGGGTTGACGGCTGGATATTCACTCGTCCCAAGCTCCAAAGTGTCTCACTTGACATCTGACAAAGCTATCACTGATTGAAGTTCAAAGATTGCTATGTGTTGCTTGGAGCCGACAGTGCCAGGCAATATGAGGAGCACTGAGCTTGAGGAAACTAAGCCACTCAGGAGTCCTGTCAATAGGCAAAGCTGTGCGCATCAGGAGCTTCAAACAAGAATATATTTGCCAAGTAACCAAGCAAGTGTTTGCACAGCTCACGTACCAGCCTCGTTCTGACCGCACCCAGAAGCGCTCGTTAGCTGTTGGCCCAATGCCGCTGAAGCTCCCATTTGCGTTGCCTCAGGCGCCGGAGGGGCCGATCAAGCCGCCACTGGTGCCCAAGGGCCCTGTGGTGGACGAACAAGGCCAGGGGAACTCGTTGGGTCCATCATGAAGTTCTGAAGTGGCTGCATGTTGGGGTGCTCTCAAAATTACGTTTTGGGGATGGCTCCCTGTTCAACCACCAGTTGGAGGGTAGTTCTTAAGGATGTTCACTGTTCAACGAACATTAATGGATCCAGTCATGAGGCCGACGTGTTGCTAACGCGTGAGGCCCCATGTTTCTTTGTGCGCAGAATGCAAAGCAAGAAGAACCGAGGCCCACGTGCTTTTCTAGCCGCGGCTTTTTTCCTGGAAAGCTTCAAAGGGAAGGGTCGAGGTCCGTTATTAAAACCCCGTTTGAATCATCAATTAGTTTTCTTTTTGTGTGATGCCCTTGTCAGCCAAAATGGGGGCCATAGGATGGGCGAACATGAGGTTAGATCCCGGATCGGGCTCAGATGATTAAAATACCCACTACACATTAGTGATGCTCCCATTAAACCCCAACAGTGGATGATAGATGTTTAGATCAACCAGGACCAACATAGCACTTTTTTCCACCACTCGTGTTTTGCTTTTGAACCCTGTCAGAGTTGGGCTCCTACCTTCCACTCGGCTGGGTGCGCAGCTCTAGGCCACACCAGCACCACCTACGACGACCCGGGCCTATCGCCTGCAGAGCGGAGCCCAGGGAGAGACATTCGGGCTACCCAAACCCCGGTTCTCAGGTGGACCAGAACCTGAAAGACACCGACATGGGTACATTGATGTTGGGAATTCGTTGACTATCCCACGGCCAGCCATTATTTTGCTTAGCAAAACAAAAGCGCTGGGTACAAGTCTATCTTGGGGCCCTGGGGTAATCCACAAGTGGATCCCTGTCTGAGGTCACAATTGCACTCTAGGCTGGTTTCAGCCTGGTCTGTTGTATTTATGTTTCGAAACTGGCCCAAAAGGTTCCCTGGTTTTGACAGATTTGTCCCTGCACGTTCCGACAAGCCAACCATACATGCGGTTGTACATCGACGACCTCAGTTTGACCTTTTGTTTGCTTGGCTTTGGTTGACATTTTGTCGTAGACATTCTGAGTTGTTTAGATGACTTAGGCGTTTGCGAGCCAGCAGAGCAAGCTTTCTCTGCAACTACAGTTTTCCCGTGCAAGGAGCACGCCAACCGTTCAAGAAGCGGTTGTTGGAGTTAGGGATCGCTCCTGTGATATCGTGAGTCTTCTTTCGCGCGGTAAAGTGAGATTTTAGTCATGTGAAAGGCCTCCCGCTTCAGGATCTTGCGGAGCGTGTTCCACCTGGTGCTCAGGCAGGATGCAGCTTGCTTGTGGGAGAGTCATTCACAGAAAGTAGCATGAAGCCTGCGGCTATGGATATCGTCGGATCTCGTTCTTTGGAACCAGCTCGCCTTGTAGTTTGGTGTAAAGGGCCGAAAAGGAATCCAACCATTTGCGGGCACGCTCTACTTCGAGACAAACCCATCTCATTCTAATTGGCAATCGTGAGCAGCTGCCTCTATTGCAGGAGGAACTTGTGATGCATAGTTCGTACTGAATCCCACGTCGTTTTCTGCTTTCCAAGAAACACCTACCTCGGTGTTTGCCTGCACTAAGGGACTCTCTCCAGCCTTTGGGTTCCCCTGGCAAAACACCAACTGGGCTTTCAAGTTGAACCCTGAATCCTTCCGCCAGATGGCAGTGGTTTCACGTGTAGTCCCGACAAATAGCGGATCAGCATTGCGGCTCCGCCCAGTTCGATGAACGCGGGTATTTGTGGATCATGGCTGTTCAGATCTGCCACTAAATAGCTTTTCCAAACAGGGCGACTGGGGGGGGAAGGATCCACCTGGAACCCAGTGAAGTGGGTACCCACGTCTCACCTTTCAGGTGCAACTCAACGACCTGCCAGAGCCCAAGGGTCCCACAAGGCGCGGACTTGGCTTCGGAGCAAACGAGCTGGTCCGCTTGAAGGTGTGATCTTTGCCTGACTTGTCCCGTCTTGTATACTTTGTTTTCGTTTGAAGAGGCAAAAGGTCAGGGCTGGTAGATACAATTGTCATATGCATATATGTCCATATATATATATATGGAGCCGTAGGCTAGTGGAACTGCAGGAGGACTTTATTTGTGTTTGGCCCGGTTTTCCCGACTGACAAAGCAGTTGATTGGTCGGAGTAAGGGAATGGGAAGAGCCGTCAACGCCATTTGAATGGGAGTTCCAAAGTGGATCATCGTGTAAGCCGGAACTTCATAAGGCTCCAGCAAGCGGGGCAAGTAAACTTCCGCGCTTATGTTGCGCTCCCAGGGTAGATCCGGAGCAAAACCACATTGCACGTTCATTAAATTAGTGGCCGCCGCGGCCTGTTTATCAGAACCTGGTTGGGTTGCCTGGGGATTGGTCCCAGGGAGGACAACTATGTATCAAACTGCATGTGCGCTGTGGAAATGGGTTTGTTGCAACAGCGCAACCTGACAGCGTGTTCTTTCCTTGGCCAGCTGCAGGATTCCCAAAAGCGACGGGCCTGGCGCCCCAGCTCAGTGTGGCTACTGATAAATGAATGACGAATTGGTATCAGTTGCGTCCGAATCACAGGATTATTTCAAGTCGTATCATTTCCCGCACATGACACTGCCTGTATCATCAACGCTGACAAGTCACTCAAAAAGTGTGTCGCCGCAGCATTGAAACATACAGCATTTTCAAGTGTTGTTTGGGTATTTTTAAGTATTGCTATGAAAGTGTCTACATGGATGGGAGCCATTTGCCTGTCCCTTTGACGCGTTGTGACGCATTGCAGTCAACATACATGGC